CCTCCAGAGCAGTGTTTTGCTCTTCTTTCAGTGAAGAAATACTCTGTAATTCCGATAAAACTTGCTCGATAGCCACGCTAATGCTAGTTTCATCGGCTGAAGCCGCCATGTTCTTTAGACTGAACAGTCGCGCTTCTCGTTGCGTCACACCTCAACCCGCCTCAAAGCCAACGCTGACTGGACATTGGTTTGGTGAACGGTTCCAAATTTTCTTCAACGGAGAGTCTCCAAACTGATTAGCGAGTGAAATCTTGAAAGCTCGCGAGATCAGGATGGTCTCACGAGGCTACACAGCCTGCACCCTGAGGAAAACCCTTAACTTTACACTGCTCCACGGGCGCCACACGATGACAGCCCAACGCTCCCCAAGGGGATGGTTAAAATGCAGAGAGTGAATTTGTCCATAGTGGGAAAATACATTGATTTACATTTACATTTAGTCTGGATAAAGACTAATATCATGTTGAGGTCTTTTTGATGTGGCATGGTAGAGCTCCTTGGACCAACCAAAAGTGAATTATCTTATGTGTCCTTTTATAGAACCACTTATTTCTTATATTAAAGGAACCAAGGCAGAGTTTTCTGCTTAAACCAATCTGTAAACTAAATACTACCAGATAAGTAACCAGCTGTGACATCTCCAAACAAATCTGTCTGCACACATTCTTTCTTCACACAGCTTAACAATAAGGAAGTGTTTGCAGATGAAGACGATTACCAAACGGTTCGCTAAAAGTGAAACACTGTCTTAACTCACCACCTGGTGTCTCTGGGTGGTCTTAAAGAAGGTGTCTTTGTCCTCACTTCCCAGGAACCTGCCGAAAAAAACAGGTAAAAATGCAGCAGAATGAATCTGACCACTCAGCTGGGGGTGGGGGGATGGGTGAAGGAGAGCAAAGTCAGAACCTCTCTAGTTTGTTGGTTCTGAACTGACAGGTGTAGTAGTCAGGTGGTGGGTTAGGGACTTCCTGGCAGAGGGGGTTTGGGAGGGACAGGCTGGACAGGAGATGTTCAGACCAGTTAGCGATTGGAGCAGTGACCACCTGCAGGAGGAGAGAGGACATACTGAGAGGACATGCTCAGTGTAAGGACAGCTACAAAGGATGAGGGACTCACCTGCAGTGGGACTCTGAGACTTATCTCCTCAGCATAGTAACAGAGGACACTCCACGGAGCGCTGAGGAGGATGAAGCAGATCCGTTTCTTTCCCTGGTGGACCTCTTTCTGTTGAGGAAATGGGCAGAACCCTCAGAGTAAAGCTGAACCCACAGACACACGAGAAGGTCCTGAAGGGGATATGATTGGTAAGAACGCCCTGGTGGCACGGTTACGGAGGCATCATGATCTGGGCTTTTCTTGCACACCTCTACTTACAAGCATTTCCGATCTGTTTAGTGCCAGAGGTGTCCAGTAATGAAGCACTTTTTGGTTTCTATACTTTACGCCATTACTTATTTTTCTTCCTACTTCTGACTTCTACTCAATACATTTTCACACAAGTATCTTTAATTTCTATTCCTTACTCGTTACTCTTGGCTTCGGTTTAATGCCGAGGTCATGGATTAGCGGATTAGCGGTCTGGATCTGGACCCACCTGCTGGCTAATCCAGACCAAACCTGATTTAAAAAATGTATAAATTACCGCATGTTGTCTGACGACAGTGTCTAATTTCACTTGCGCCGCTTCTCCTGTTACCCCAAAATCCCACATCCTACGTCTCTGCTCCGCAGCGCTCCAGACCTCCTGCAAAGCAAAGCCTACAGCCTTCACTGTTCCTCCCATCCTGCTGTGCTCAGACTAATCCTCGGAGCTTGAGGAGAGCATGCGCAATAAAATCATAAAATTTTTATGAGCAAAACATGCAGAAATGAACGCTTATTTTAATATGACATAAAAAAAATCCCCATTAGCATCCAGCATATGTTAAGTGTCTGATGGAGATGAGAAATCTGCTTCCTGGTCTGTTGAAGTACCAATAGTTTGCATCCACTCTTTTAAATAAATATTTTTAGTTTTTTTTTATATATATATATATAAGAAATATGCTCTAATTCATTGTTACAGATCTATTGTTACTATATTTTAATTTGACAAACCGGATCTTCTCGCTGTTCTTTTCCCTGTTTGATGCGATTGCACTAGCGGATCTTGACCTGCCTGGACAGGAGCGGAGCCTGAACATTTAGAGGATGTTTAGCTAAACCTACTGCTGTGAAGCAGGATTCTCCACCATGAACAGAATTAGAAATAAATATGGATCCAGGCTCAAAATGAGCTCCTTGATATGTGCTTTAGAATGGCTTAGTCTCTATTCAAACCCAGGTTTTAAAGCCTTGCAGGGCAGCATAAAGCCCACTGCGAACATTAAGACAGAAAAAAGAAAAAAAACAATAAAGAAAAAACGGTCAGTTCAGGTGTTTTAAAAGATCTGTGAATCAAGAAATTGTCTATATACCAAACTGAAAGATTGTTGTTCTCTACTTCAAAAACACTTTAGGTTTTAAAATGGAAAAACTTTATATTTTTTTATTTAAAAATTAAATGTATAACATGAATACATAAACACTTCATTTTATTTCAGTGTTAAATTCTGTTTAAAGTAACAGATCATTAAAAATGTCTCCGGACCTTTACTGGTTGATGATTTTCTTTATTTGGACCCTGCTGATTTTTAATTGGTTACCCCTAGTCTAATGTTTATAAACATTTATTTCACGTCATGTGCGCCATCCAACACAGATCATTGGCTCCATCCACATCTAGTGAAAACTAGTGTAATTGGATGAGTCATATGACGCAAACACTCATTGGTTAGCTAAAGAAAATCATCAGAAGCAAGCAGGTGTTCTTCAAACTGCAAACGTGAATTGTCTATGCCATGCTACAATGTAGAATTCAGAAAAAGATGTTGAAATGTCTGAAAGGTCGGATACAGGTGACAGCGTATCGGGAGACGGAGACCATCAAGACCTCCCTCATCCTTGGCCCTATCTTAAAGAATTTTTAGAAATAGTCGAAAAGTTGAGCTTTCAATTCATATAGTTGCATCTGACTGTTTTTTTGTTTAACGGTTACTTTATACTTTCAGTAGTTTTTGGAGTAAAGAGGTCAAGTTGATACTTCAACTTTTACCAGAGTGTATTTAAACTGCAGTATTTATACTTGTTCTTAAGTAACAAATGTGTGTACTTTTGACACCACTGTTTAGTACAATGTGACCTCAGACTCGTTTCACTGTTTCACACGTTTCACTCAGCCTCTCACAAGCAGCAGGTTTTCACTTTAAGTATTTTCAGCTGAGAACGGTTACTCCTCATGTCATGTGACTTCCACTCTGATGAGTGTTTGTTTTGCTCACCTGCTCCTGCAGAAGGCCTGCTTGTTTCAGTCTGCTCAGAAACTCCTCCCTCCACTTCGTGTGGGTGGAGCTCACACCTGAGTTGTCTTCATTAGCCCCCCGAGGCTCCTCCCACACTAGGACAAAATCTGACCAATAGGACAACAAGGCTCAAATATTCATTAATGCTGGAAAAAAAACACATTCTAACATGTTTATTAACAACATTTAGTTAAAAAATGTCAACATTTTGAACATTAAATTTAAAGTTAATCTGTTGATTTCCAGTTAAAAGCCTCATAATGCTGTTAAATGACTCAGATATCTGACTTTTCAGTAAAAACCATCTCACCAATTCGAGTGGTTCCATTGCTGAATACGTTCCGGTCCTGCACCTGATGCGGCGCCTCCTGGAAAACAGCAAGAAATATACACTTTACTTAAAACATGTTTGTTTCCTCTATACTATCTAATTGCACACCTTTAGTTCCCGTGCTGTGTCGGCTCCCTCATGACATTCTATTACTTATATTTTCATGTAAGCTTGGGCTTTCAGTTG